TAAATTACAACAAATCAGAGAATCAGCTGATATTACCAAGATTTAATTTTATGTAATTAATGCAGGGTTTTTGAACTTATAAAATATTAGATAGAATTTAATTTTGTTGGTCAGCTAATTTTCTCACATGTTGAAAGTTATGACTTGCTGAACAGAAGATGTAATAAGCCTTAAAGCTAAATACTGGATATTTACTGAGTTACAGCCAGTCAAACAACTCGTAGAACCAAGTTTTTCGTTATTGAGTCTATTACATTCTTTGTTCAGCAGATCATAAGCTACAACAAATGAGAAAACCAGCTAATCTTATCGAGATTTGATTTTATATTAGTACAGGGTTTTGAACCTAGATAGAAATCCTAGACAGAATTTAATCTTGTTAAAATCAGTTGATTTTCTCACATTTGTAAGTTACGATTTGCTGAATAAAAATGTAATAGGATCAAAACTAAATAATAGACGATTTACAGCCAGTCAAACACGAAAAATTAGAACTTTGCAAGATGTTTGACTGTAATTCGATCTATCCAATGTTTAGCTTTGAAGCTACTACATCTTTAGTTCAACAAGTCAATGCGGGGTCCTTTCTTGTCCGAAATTGTTATTAATTTCCTCCCTGAGATTAATAGAAGATGGGTTCACTTACATCCGCATTACAGTGCCTATCGTAAAGGTGCGTCATCAACGAGAATCTGCGCCTCTTGAGAGCGTCGCAACTCGCCCATAGACACAATATCTCCTCTCCACCGGTCGGACAGTGAACCTCGCAAACGTGAAGGTAGACCTCGTGTGGTGTTTTAAATTGTCTGCAAGATTGATATATTTTTCACATAAAAAAACCATCACATTCAATCATAAATGGATAATTTGAGTTCTTCTCTTCGACCTTACCTAAGACACCCTCGCCACTCGCACAGATAAGCGTTGGGGTCGATTTTGATCGTGATAGTTTTACTCTCCTGCGGCGAGGGTTGCGGCGTCGGTTGCTGCTGCTGACTCGTCGAAGGTTTCGACTCCGGCTCGGTGGAGGTCGACGAGCTCACCGTCTTCACGATCTTCGTGGCGGGCGACGGCTTGACCGCGGTCACGCCGTGGGTAGCCGCCGCCTGATGCGGCGTCGTGGGTCTGGTAGGCGGCGGCGTGGACGCCGGGGTGGGAGTCACCACCCTGGACGGCACGCTGGTGGAGACCGGAGTTTGCTGGGCCATCGCCGGGATCGTGACGGTGACCGTGTTCGGGTTGGTCTGCGCCACCGAGCTGTTCACTATGATGGAGGCCTGCGGGATAGTCGCGGACGTCGGGACCAGAGGCGGAGGAATGTTGCCGAGCGCCGGACTCTGCAGAATCGGTCGCGGCACCTGCGTCACGACCACTTGCTGCCCCTGCGGCGTCACCGCTACCATCTTCTGCGGAGTAGGCTGTGCGGCTGCCTGCGGCTGCAATATGATGATGGTCTTGGTGCCGGTTCCCTGCTGCTGCGTCGTCTGCGCCACCAGGACGGTTTGCGCTTGTCCCTGCACCAGAGCCGTCTGCGGCTGCGCCAGCACGTAGTTCTGACCGGGGACACCTCCGGACACCACGTACTGTAGCTGGCCGCCCGCGCTCTGCTGCAGCAACACCTGCGGTTGAGTCGGCTGCGGTCTTCCCTTCACCGACGCGGTGGGTATGATGACCTGGTTGTTCGTCGGGATCGTCTGCTGGACGACTATCTGCCTGGGCGTCGCCACTATGAGCTGTTGCTGTTGCTGATGCTGCAGCTGTGGCTGCGGCTGCGGCGCCTGAGTGATCTGGTTGATGAATATGTGAGGCTCTTCCTTAATGTGCAGAGTCTGCGGTTCTTCCTTGACGAGGATGGTCGGCGTCGGGTCCGTCTTCACGTGGAGCGGAGGAGGTGGAAGAGGAGCCGCTATCGTCGCCACCGTCGGCGCAGTCCCTTCCTTTATCGCGTCCTTGCTGACGTTCACTTGTTCCTCCAGATCAGTCTCGTCCTCTATACAATCGGCAGCAAGGGCTGCGTAGAGATTCGCCGCGGTGGAGGAAACGGTAGCCTTCTCGCTGTCCTTGTCGTCGTCCTGCTCCTCGGATTTGATACTGGAAACCGTGGATTCCGCCGTGGTCGAGTCAACTGCTGGATCGGGCGACATCGTGCCATTGGAATACTTGGGCTTCTTGATCTCCAACTCGTCCGATTCACTAGCCGATCTCTTGATTCCCCGCGGCGCCTCTATCAAGGTGTCCTCGGATGCCTCGTTCTGTATAATGTTCCCACCCTCCACCTCGGGCTTCAGTTTCAGCTCGCCAGGGGATTCCTTCAGCACCTTCTTGATGTGATTCTCCACCAGGTCCATCTCTTTCTCGTTAATGGAGTTTTTACCGAGCACGCCGTTCAATATCGGCTCCTTGTCGACCTTCCTCTCGAGCAAATCCACCAGCATCATGCTCTGCAACGGCTTGTCCTTCGAGCTCACGCTCGACGAGTCCTTGGACGAGCCGTCCTCCTCCTGCGCATCGATGTCCATGTTGTTGTTGCTCGCCGGCGCGCCGTTCAACAGGATGCCCTCGAAACTCGTCAGCATGTTCTCCTCCTCGACGCCCACCCCGGAGCAGTCCCTGCTACCGCCGATGCCGCTACTCGACGCCAGCGAGTTGTTGGTGGAGTCCGAATCCTCGGCGATGGAAGTATATGTCGTGCGCTGATTGACCTTGTTCGGCGGGGAAGTGGCGACGGTGACGACGGTCGGCGTCAACGGCGGACGACAGACCTTCGCCGGTAAGGAGGATATGTGGTTTTCAGTCGAGTTCACCATCACCGTAGTCGTGGTGGTGGCGGTAGATGTGACGATTGTTTGATTGGCGTTGTCGTTATCGTTTACTTCAGTCTGGAATACACAGTGTTGCGCTTAGATCAGTTTACAATGGACTAGATAACAGATCAAATTATATGGCGGTTCTTATCTGGATATTTTTAAATTTATTTTTATCTCTCTTTCACAATTCTTTTTATAATTGTATTTACATAAGCGGTCTTTAAAAATATTATTTACAAGTTATCTAGATCATTTGTAGATATTTTTAAAATATATTTTTATCTCTTTCACAATTATTTTTATAATTGTATTTACATAAGTACTCTTTAAAAAATATTACAATATTATTATATATTATCTACAGGTATCTAGATGAATTGCCATATAATTTTATCTTTTCTCTACGTATATTTAAAACAAAATAATTTTTATCTTATCTAAAAAGAATTGACATATTTTTCATTTCAACTTTCAATTCTTCTTAGATAAGACAAAGATGATTTTGTTTTGAATATATCTAGATAAAAATTATTTGGCGATTTATCTAGCTAATTTCCAGATAATATTATTTTTAAGACCGCTTATATAAATACGATTATAAAAAATGTAAATTATAAAAGGGAAATTAGAATTATAAAAATATATTCATACTTTTATTTATAAGTTTTTATCGCTTACTGCTTAAGTATTTTTATATCTGAATATTATTCCTACTAATTCATTAAAGTAACACTTTTCTCATCTAAGCTGCAAACATAGATAATACATACAGTTTTATTATACCTATATAAAGATAAGATGACGTCAAAATTCCATCCAGATAATAATCTATATATTTTATTTAAATAATAGCAAATACTGAAAAGACAACACGAGGTGCTCGATGCAGGTTCTAGGTAATCTCGCCTAGCTAGAGACCTCATAAAATACGTACCTTCTCGCAGTTATTAGTCACAACAAACTTGGCCCCGTTGAGCCTCTGTATCTTTTGGCAGGAATGGGTGTGAGTGCCGGTTTCTGCTTAGCGTTCACGGGAGTCTTTGGGAGTATCGTGGCTGGGGTGGCTGCGGGTGCGGCGGGTTGCATCACGCCCGTCATCTGTTGCTGCAGTAACCTCTGCTGTTGCTGACGCTGGGCGACCTGGAAAAGCCACATCGTTGATGTGTAACCGAGAAAAGGACGCAAATCATTTTTCGAATTTTTTTCCCCCACTATTACGTCACTTTCTCGAAGTCGTCGATCTTAAAGAGAAAATTCAATCGAAATCTCATGAAAAACCATGCTGTTGTTAGTGTTCAATAATTACGTAGTCACTCTCAATTTCTCAAAATCACTCTGTTAAATCCTCGTTAAATGGCTCTTTTCTTTTTTATCATATATTTGCAATATATTTGTCAAGGAGAGGAAAGGACACGACATTCTGGTCTGAGTTTGTATCTCTCGAGAAAAAAAAAGGAAACAACAAAATACATAACAAAAATTCGAGTACATCAATCAACACTACATCATAAAAGCGCAGACATTTTAAAGAAAACAATTCCGAGACTTCAAAATCTAGTATATTTTTAAACCAAAAGAAGGATCTACTTAATTCTTGTTAATTGTACAACAATGATACCTGGTTGCTGGTTATTAGCTGGTTGGCACTGATGCTGGATGCGATGCTAGCAGTAGTGTTTGTTACGCAGGCAGTAGGGGTAGACACACAAGTCGCAGCAGCACTGGGCATGCAGTCGCTGCTGATCGTTACCTTAGTAGCCAACAGGCTCTTAATTATGGAACTCGACGTAGTGCCACTTCGATTGTCTTCCTTAACAACTACCTGGACACTTTGAGATTGTTGCTGCGGCTGCAGCTGTTGTTGCTGCTGTTGCGGAGTCTGGGAGCCGCTCGCTAGCAACGCCTGGCTCAGATGCGGATGTGATACTGATACCTAGTCGACAAGGAGGCAACATAGAAATTTCAACCACCTTATATGCGGATCTCGACTTTGAAGAGTTTATCATTTTAAGCATTTTACGTCAATGCACACTATCTGCTGATATATAATATATACTATGTATCTGATACGTTATATTATTTTGCGCAATCGAAAGAGAAGCATTTGTTGCAAGCAGAAATCACAAATGATGATTGCACACGCTACATCGATCTCCTTGGAAACAATTTGATACTTTTTCAATTTTCTATGACTGCAAATAATAGCAAAGAAAGTTTCATATATCTTAGAAAAAATAGCGAGATGTAAAAAGATTTGAAAAGATCTGTGCAAAAGTGAAAGATGAATAGATCTTGCGGTTTACGATTGTTCTACATCGATCTTATCTACATCGATGATGATAAGAGCAAAGTCGCTGGATTCGCACGAAGCATAGGAAAAGTCTCTCACCCCTGGTGTTACGAGGAAGAAAATTCTAGATCGTGTGTTAAAATGGGAAAACCAACAATAAGAATAGCGTTATGTACGTATGAAGCTACAGCACAACCAAAGTGAGAACCAAGGTCATGAACGAGAACGGCAGAGAACGGTACACAGAGAGAGAGAGAGAGAGCTAGGTACTCGGACCCACCTGACTTTTAGAATCGACCTTGGTCACTGGATTTTGGGACTGGCTCGAGGTGTTGCTGGACGGGGGTTTCGGCGGTGCGGACAATTGGGCCTTCAGGATAGGAGACGCGGGAGTGTTGGCGGTTGTGGAGGTCGTTTGCGCCCCGGACGACGCGGCGGGACTATCGACCTGGGGAGCCTGGGTGGCCGTGCTATCGGATGCGGGATTTATAGTCTTGACTGTACGCTGTTGAGCGGGAAGCACCTTTACTGGAGTAGTGTTGACCGCCGGGATCAGTGGTGTATTAGTCGCGACCGCAGCGGTAACTTGTTGGCTCGGATAAGTGATCGGCGCGGGTGTCGCTCGTACACGGATGCCTTCGTAATACTGGGTGCCGGTATTCTCGCCCTTCAACGGATTCGGCCCCACGATACTGCCGAAAACGGATCTGCACGGGCAACAATACATAATATGAGTCAAAAGACACGCGTACACACACCGCAAGTAGCAAACTGACGTTGCTGAACGTCAGTCTGCTACCTGAAATGCCTCTTCTTCTACATGCGATATTACCTGACGCATCTAGGAAAATGCAACGGAGCTATCACGCCTCGCCTGCCGATTTTCGTGCAGCAGCCGAGATACTTTTTGTACAACTCCTCTTGTTCGATGCGCGTACCGGGCGCGAGCTCGAAAGTGGCTCTCACCCAGCCTAGGGCAAACTGCTCGTTCTCCTGAATAATTTGCTGATGCGCGTTCTGCTGTTGGATCGCGTTAGCCGTCTCCACTGCTTCTACAACAAATGTAAAAAAAACCACCGATATAAAAAAATTTATTATTTGGAATTTTTTCCTTCATATCGATTAAGAAAATTTCATTTTTTTAATATTCTATCGCAGTAAGACATTAAATAATAAATTAACAAATTTATATAAAAAAAAGATAATTTAGAGTCAAAATAAACCTTGGCAATCGTCATTTTCGACAGAACCGAGTAACATTTATTATTAAGAATGTTAAACACTCTTCTAGACCTCATCATCCTGAAGAAGGGCTAGAAAAATCACGTACTACTGTGCGTTGTCGACTTGGCTGAGGTCGCGGCGGGAGTCGTAGGTCGAGACGACGCCGGACTGGCAGGTGACGGCGTCACGGTGACCGTCGCTGGAGTAGACGTGGACGTGGTGGTTGCGGTTGGCGTGGAGGGGGTGACGGAAGCGACGCCCTGCGCAGCAGTGCTCTGTTGCGCCGCTACTGTGGACACCGTCTCGACCACTCGCATGAGAATGCAGGCTTTCGGGCCGTAACTTTGCGCCTCCACGGTGACGAGAGCGACCAGAGTGTCGATGGCGCCGCGAACTCGCGCGACGCTCGTGCAAGGTCTCTCCCCCAGCGACGTCAGCGCATATAAACATTCCAGGGTGTACACTAAGAGGGCTATGTCACTCAGAGCTAGGAATCTGGAAGCAGGCAAGATGATTTTATGATTTTTTCATTAAAAAAATGCAAAAAGCTCATAAATGTATTTGAAGAGTCACTGCTTACCTGCATATAAGTTCATACACGTTATCTGCCAAACCGAACGTGACAATTTCTTCGTTGCTGTCCTGCTGACTGATCTTGTTGAGCACCTCCAGGCAGGATATGACGATAAACCTGTCCTGAGACTCGATTCCCATGGCCACGCACGACAGAACTACGTCCGTTATCCTCTCACCGGCCTCCTTTAGAATAATTTCGTTCGCTATGTTCCCTAGTATATCGAAGCCGAGCTGGTGCAGATTGCTCCATCTCGCTCTCACGCACAGCAGGACGAATCGCAGGAAGCACCGATTCCTGCCTAGTATCACCGTGTTCTCCGGCGTGAAGCTGAGGTTCCGCAAGATCGACGCGATCTGCAGCACGCGCTGGCCGTAAGGATCCTGCGTACCTAACGTCCGACCGACGCAAAACAGATCCTTATCCTCCTCCTCGAACTTGATGGAGTTTTGGTTCTGATCTCTCAGGCTCTCGTCCGACGTCAGATCCAATCTTGGGCAATCCGGAAGTATCTGAAATGCGAAATCATGAGGTTTGAGACAAGCTCGAGAGCAAGAAAGGAAAATAACATTTCCTGGGGAATTTATTCCTCGAAGCTTAGGTATAAACAGTGTAGTATTTAGATGCATGTATCTGCTAAATATTGTATCTAGATACATGTATCTACATTTTGATTTAGACATTTTGTATATCTAAGTCTATATCTGAGAAGCCAGTATTATCGAATTGAAGTATCTAAATACAGTATTTAGATACATTTTGTGTATCTGAGTCTGTATCTGAGATATTATCGAATTGAAGTATCTAAAAAAATACATGTATCTAGATACTTCAATGTATCTAAATACAGTATTTAGAAACATTTTGTGTATCTGAGCCTGTATCTGAGAAGCCTGTATTATCGAATTGAAGTATCTAAATACAGTATTTAGATGTATTTTGTGTATCTGATCCTGTATCTGAAATATATTCGAATTGAAATATCTGCATCTGTATTTAAATACAAAACATATATCTGAATTGCTTTTCTCAGATATATTTTCACATTATTCTTTAAATTGCCTAATTCTTTAAAATAAAAGATCAAGACTACAAGTAGAAACAGCTGATAGTACATAAAAGTTCTCTCTTATTTGTCAGACAAGCAAAAAGATATCGCATAAATATATATACGTTTTCCTCATATAAAACATTTGTTTTTCAAGTTCAATACAATTATATATCGTCATTACCACAGGTTGAGCGATTGTTATTATTGGTGATCTTATCACGGAAAAATAATTCGAGTGACGATATTTTTGAGGCATTTTTGATGTGTTAAAACTAATAAAGTCGTAAAGAAAAATATTAATAAATAATAATATTAATAAATAAGATTTATTCAGTATATTTTGTGCGTATTACCATTATTAAAATAAAATTCAAAAGTATCTGATATGTATCTGAGATACTTTTAAAGTATCCGAGTATCTGTGTATCTATATACATTTTAATTTATGTATCTGTATCGAGATACAGTTTAAATGTATCTTACCTATCATATGAGTATATTTTGTACATATTACCATTATATTAAGATAAAAAATAATTTAAGTATAAGTATCTGATATGTATCCGAGATACTGTTAAAGTATCTGTACCTACACACATTTCAATTTATGCATTTGTATCTATATCGAGATACATTTTCAATGTATCTCCACTGGATGAAAGTAACAAAAAGAGACCCACCCCGTCGATGTCGATCAGCGTCGGGGGCGGCTCCTCGTTCTCCGTCGTCGACGGAGCGGTATCTTGTTGCTTGCTCTTCTCCTTCTCCAGGGTCTTCCGTCTGGAGAACGTCGGCAGACTGGTAGGCGGCTTCTTCATGAAGGTCTTCTCGTTCGTGAGATCTATCACGTCCTGGGAGTCGAGGACGTCCGACCAGAAGGAGTTGATGGAGTAGTTGCGGACGCGCGAGTACACCTCGATGAAGAGCTGCCGCGTGCCGGGCGAGTCAAAGACCCCGGCGTGCGCCAGGAGGATGTTCACCAGTCGGGGATACTTGTCCAGCCGTAGGGTGTGCTTGCCCTCGTTCGACAGAAGGGTGCAAACGTTGATGGCGAAGTCCTGCTCGTTCGGCAGCGGTGACAGGAGTGACAGCGCGAGCTTGTCGTAGTTCGAGGGCTTGTAAAGGTCCGACGAAAGTCCGTTGTAGTCGCGCAGAGATTCTGAAAGCCGAGAAAAAAAGAATTTTAGCATTTTATATTAGGACTACAAATAGTTCTCTTAATCTACCTCTTCAAAAGTTCACCTTTGCTCTTGAAAAATGCATTTGTAATTATGTGTATCAAGTTGTTATTATTTATAAATAATTTAGATAATTTTGATCTATTAATACTTTTTCAACAAATAATCTGGCAATTAATTCTGAATGTGCTATATTCCCTAAAATTATAATTAAATCACGAGTATTGGCGCAATAAAATTATAACTTGGAATTTTTTATTTGATTAAAAAACTGCAATTTTCCGACCCATATTGACTTAAACTCTTTCATTCAAAATAATTCCAGGAGCACTTAGTTAAGCTGTGAACACCCTATTTAGAGAGGAGAAGGGAGACACCCTATATATATTTTAATTAATTACATAAGTTATTTTTTATAAATTAATTTATTTTAAATTATTTATTTAAAATTAAATTAATTTTTCATAAATAATTATAAATAAATAAATTTTTTATCTTATCCATTAAACAGACAACTTGAAGAAAAATTACATTCGTGGAATTTATTCAATAAAAATTAACATCCGATTGATTACGATAATTGGCCTCGATAACGATATTTCCAAAACGCGAGAAGAATTGTTAAAAATATTCGTTTCGTGAGTGTGTTCGAGTGATATATTATTTATCTATTCTCGTTACGGCTATAAATTAATGCAATATTAATGAGTATCGTAGGTTCACCTTGGCCGCATAGATGATGCGAAGGTCGCGCAAACATTTTTACGCATATTGTATGTCGATGACGTTGAAAACCTCCAACGATTTTCACAGCGTTACGATGTATGTATATGTATGATAATAAAAATTTTCTTCCCCGCGACCACTCATTTAAAATAATTAAAATACGTCGCTAATTAAAATAATGAAAACGCGTCAAGAAGTATCCTTCAATAGCGCTCGAAAAAGTGAAATCCTTTTTAACAAAAAAAAACAAATAAATAAGATAAAAATAAAGAAAGAGAACACAAGGAAAAGAAAGATAATGACAAAAAGTGATAGAGGTTCTTGTAGTTACATCGTTTAAAAAGCAAACACTTTCTCTTTTTCTATAAACAGAATGTCTACTCAAATCTTGTAGAAAAATTCTCTAATCTTCCAGATATTTTTCATTTAAAATTCTAAGTAAAATAAGAAAAGTAGATGCAGCTTTAAAAAAAATGTTGTTATGACATTTCTAATGTTTTTTTATTCATGTATGATTGTAAAGTTATCAAGAGTGCAGTTTTTCTAGTATTTAATGTTGATGTATTAATTGTAAAATCAATTTTTAAAAATATGAAACAAAAAACAATTTATTTATTTCAATTAATGTATTAGATTATTTATTCGTTTATTAAATTATTATATATTTAATTTATTAATTAAATAATTATAAGAGATAATATATACTAATTTATTTAAATATAATTTTAAAAAATTGAACAATTTTCTAAAACTTACACAAGATTTCGATACTAAAAATAGATGGTCAATAAAAAAATCACATAAAATTTTCATAAAAATTCAAATGTTGCAAAATAAGTGAAATGATCAAAGGGGCAATTTTATAAAAAAATGTCCCAATGAAATAAGAATTCTGATTTTTCAAGTAGAACAAAATTCTCTCAGAGTCCTAGATTTTCAAGGTTTTTCCCAGGAGCAAACGTCACGACAGAACCAGTTAATAGTTCGGACGTCGTTCTTATCGTCGAGTAAAGATTTTTCCAAAATGTTTCTGTCGAGCCACAAGCGCGAATATACGATATCTCTTCTTCGCGAACGCGACATTTCTCCGATCGCGAATAGCGCACACATATACACTCCTCCGGCGATCGTCGACGGAATTGTCACGCGGCCAATCCGACCCTGCCGCGCTTGACGATGGCTCATTGAGGCAGGTCATGGCTGGTTGATGCAACAAGAAAGCGGAGCTAGCATGATTGTGCATCGGATTTCGAATCGAACGACGCTAAGAGCCGCCGCTCTTTTGCTTATCCGCGCCGTTTTTTTTATTTATCACCGTTCTTTACAATTTTTAAGGAATAAATAATACGCGAAAAAAAAGCGCGAGAATTCCAGAACCTCGGATCTCTCATATTTTTTCTCGAGTTTTTATTTATTTATAATTTTAAAAAATATATAATAAAAAATATAATTCAATATAAATACAATCAAATATAATTAAATTTAAATTTTATTTAAAAAATATGAATTAAGAAACAATAAATGGAATTAAAAAATAAAAATAATAAATAGAATGAAAGAATAAAAATAATAAATACAATAAAAGAGAACAAATAAAGATAAATAAATAATATATATAAATCTCAAAAGTATATGTCCAAATGTATATGAATAAGAGAGATGTTATCAGTTTGGGAGAAGAGAAAGAGGATTTTCAATTGGCTCCGGAGCCGGCAAATGTTTATTTCATTTAAGAACATACAAGCCAATGTATATATGAATTATAAAAAAAAAAAGAAGAAACTAAACGATAAATAAATGTGAAAGAGGCGGGGTTGATAAGAAGTGATTATCGGTTATTGCCGGAATGTGTTCTGAATTTATCTGAGAAGAGGCGATATTTTGAGTCGCAATATATATATATATATCTGGAGTAGTAGAAGAACCAATTCTAATCCAATGTCCGGTTTATTTCGTCTGATGATGATGATGATGATGATGTTGATGATGATAATCCTTCACAGTTTTATCATCATCAAGCGACGATTTTGAAACCAATTGTTTAATTTTTTTTTTTTTTTTTTACGCCAATCAATTATAATCGAATCAACATCCGAGAGAAGATAATCAACTTCATTCCCGATGCACCGTAAGTAGGTTGTGCTCTCGGTCAAGGTCGGGCTTTCTACAAGTGGCCGGTTGCATTTCGCCAATAGAAACATCACATCGTTAAAATATCACGGAACTATCACTCCATTCATCCAAATTCGGACTCTTCTTCCCTCCTTTATCCTAGACAATTCAGGACAAATCATTATTAACAAATTCTATTAAAAAAAAAATCACAACAAATTCTGTCAAGTGTTCTCTCTTTAAGAAAATCCAATAAAACACTAATAAACTATTATAAATAATTGTAGAATGTTTTTTTTTTACAATCCTACTCCCCTTGCAACTTGTACAAATCCGATGATCGATCCGTCGAAGTGATAAACGGGGGCCTGTCGCGTCCGGAGCAAATTAGTGACCTTCTCCTAGGCAAGGCTTTAGCGAGGCGTGTCGAAAGAGAGAGAGAGAGAGAGAGCTGCGAACACGAGCTGAATATACGAGCCTGCTGTATACGTATGTACGGGGCGCAACGTTATCGGGGATCGTGGTAATCTTTTCAGCCACAAAACCGCGATCAATATCGCGTCCCAGGAGAAGTGTCGAGTTTCGTCGGAACCACCCGGGGGTGCGAAAGGAGAGAAAGGAGGTGGAAAACAAACCGGGCGAAGGACGAGGGAAGGAATCGCAAGGGGGCAAAAGGAGGACCCCCTCCGAAGCCCCCCATCTCGTTAATAAAATCACGGGTCGTCAACGAACGCCGCAAGGTATCGATTTCGAAGTTGAACACCTTGTTTCCACGGCGTAATAAAGGGAGTGCTGCTTTACGTAATGGACAAAGAAAAGGGGAGCCAGGGGTCCGTCGCTGATAAAAATGTGTCCCGGACGAGTTTCTAAAAAAATTAAATAATAATTATGCAGGGAAATCAATCGACAAGAAACGAAATTAAGTTAACGCCAATTTTATGTTGGTATTTCAAATTGCCTTACTTTCGAGTTTTTTTTGACAGTAAAAAGTTTCTCTTTTTACAACAGCGACATCTCGTATCGCTATTTGTAAAACTGAAAATTTCCTCCCAACAACAGCGACATCTGGTATCGCTATTTGTAAAACTGAAAATTTCCTCCCGGATAATTGATCCGCATTAATTGATTCGCATTAACAAATGTTAACGGATCTATTTATAGCCCGTTATTGTAATAAAAGCAATACGCAGCTGGCTCACGAACTGTCATCATGTCCCCCCTCCCCAATGTTTAATCAATCCACACACACCCCGCGTCAGAGTATCAACAAACAGTTAACTATGATTAAATACCGATAAATAAGAGCCGATACGCAGAGAGAATCGATCGATTTTCCCTCGTAGAAGATAAACGTCATAATCCGAGCGCACATTATTATCATTATCATTATTACTATTATTACATATCCTGCAATTTTAAAAATATATACTATTAAGAGAAAAAAATACAGTCGTAAAGAAAGATTTTTGACGTTTCTACGAATAAGTAAAAATTCCGTGCTAAGCACGGGCCATTTTCTCCTGTTTTTCGGGACCAAAAAATTCCAGTCTTAAAAAGGACGGCCGTAAAAAAATGACTGGAATAATTTTCCGATAAAATGAACATCGCACGCGTTAATTGGCTGGCATCGCAGTCTGCTGACAAACGCCTCGTAACGAGATGAGTGCGCGCAGCGCGTCGATGACACCGATGGCACGCGGTGTCGCCCCCCTCTCACCCCCTTCCCCCCCCCGGACATCGTCGCGTCAATCGTCGCGACGTCCGACCACAGGTGGATTCTGGAGGAGTCTAAAGAGACTGTGAATTTTTTTCACTCGTTCATCGTCGAATTAATCAATAAAAGCAAAAATTCTGGTTTAAAATGTTAATCGCGAATTGGACATTTTCAATTTTATATTATAATTTTCGGTAATTTCTCTTGTCACTTTAATTTTTAAAAATGTGTAATTTTAAATTGTTGTCCTTCTACATTAATATAGCAATTCTTCTACAGAAAATTATAAAATTATAAATTACATATAATCGCTATATTAATTCACAAATATCACATTATCCCATTTTTTATATATATAAATACCATTCTTCTCTAATGCCCTAACTTGCACTATTAATGCTAAAATTAATATAATAATTTGCATAATAAGTTAACGACGTAAAGATCTAGAAGAATCGATACGAAGTTGGACACATAAAAAATATTTAAATTAAATATATATTAAATTTAAGCAAACATATAAATACGAATATATGTTCAATTAATTAAATAGCAATTTAGTTTAGTCAAATTAAGAAATCTTTTTTTTCCAGCGTATGGAAGATTTGAAAAAAGACGCGTTTCCATGTCTTCCAAATGGCCATCTCTAATCTGGCACACGATATACATATACAACCGCAACAACACACAAGCCGGGGAATCGCTCGCGAGCCCTCTCGCCGGAATCGCGGCGAACATCACGCAAGCGCGGCATTTATACCGGGACGATCAAGAACCGACGAACACTTATCCCCGCAAACGCTTATTGATTGTGACGCGCGCCCCCGTCGACGGTTTCGCTCCCCTACTCTCGCGATCGCACGCACGTGACGAGAGTGTCAACTGCTGCAGTTAATTAAGACCTTAATCTAAATTCAGAACCCTTTCCTCGTCCCCTTCGGGCTCTCGTCCGAGAAGAACAATTTACGCAATTTTTTTTACACTTGGTAGAGCTTCAGAAATTTTTGCGAATTTTTGAGAAATGATGTATGGTATAGATCGTGAGAAGTAAAAAAGGAAGATTAATGGCCGTACGTCGCGAATGCTCAACGAACGGTTCAGCGATCGCTGTCACGCGATTCTCGACGCATTTGAATACATATGTATGTGTATATTTTGCGCATGTATACACTGAAAAAAATCCATGTACTTTTACATGGAAATTACTAGCCTAAGAACTGGAATATACTATTCCAGTTCTGAGCTAGTAATTTCCATGTAAAAGTACAAGGATTTACTCGCCTTCGGCTCGTGCGTCCATTCCCCGCACTTGTGACCAATTGTCAACTTTCCGCACTTGATACACACGATATTTTGTATTACAAGTGCAGGCAAAGTGGCTTTGTGCGCGTTTTTTGTGCGTGAGGTGGCCGATTGCACGCCGCCATCTTGCGACGGCACAGTGCGGGAATAGACATTGTCCACGGCTAAAGCTGTGGGCAATACATTGCCCACGGCTTCAGCCGTGGACAATGACTTTAAACGCGGCTCAGCCGTAAGCAATGGCTTTGAATGCGGCTTATTCACTCACCGCATCGCCGCTAGATAGCGGCGTGGGAAATCGGCCGCTTTCCACACACAAAGTGCCACTTTGCCTGCACGTGTAATACTCTCTGACTCGGAACAAGAATAATCATCGTGTTTCATCATAATGATTAATACCAAATATTTCTCAATCAAGTATGTTCCTCAACCAAATATGTCGCGCCACAAAAAATATTAAATGTCAAAATGACGTACATTTGCTATCTGGGATTTGAAAAATGAGGCAAAGTTAAGCAGAACGACCTTTTTCCACTCACAAAAATGACAAGAGAAGATTATTTCGTCGCTGTAAAATCAAATAATACGGTTTTGCGCATAATCGCGACAGAGGGGATGAGCGCGAATGATTAGGCAACGAGCGCTAATCGGCATCGATACGCCGAGGGGGATGAATCGGAATGGAAGATGAAGGGAGGGAGAGAGCATCCCGCCAGGGCGCCTTTACTGACCCGGTTCCGGATGAGCATCCAGGAGAGAGAGAGGAGAGGGTCGTCGGACGGTGCTCGACTTGCGCGGAAGCTGCTAGGAGTCGAGGTTCACGCCGAGTGAGCCTCCGCTAAGAGAGCCAACCCCGCCGGGGGCGAATTAACAATCGTTACGCGTCATGTAGATATCGGTAAGCGTCATTTTCGCACTCTCCCTCCCGACGCGAGAGATGGAGGGAAAAGGTGCCCGCACCCTCACGCATCCCTGTATGGATGCTGCGCGATCCCGTCATATCGCCATCCCCCTCTCTCTATCTCTATCTCTTGTACAGGGTCCTCCTTCGCTCTTTCCAGCCCCAGTCAGTCATCATGGGCTACCCCAGAGCTTCTGTGCGGCCGCGAGGCTGCCGCATGCGGCATGCGCATGCGCGCCGAGTATAGACCCGCGCGCGTTCCGCCAGTGTTCGACGAACGACGGTGCGTACATGCTCCCTCTATTTAAACGCGTACAGGATGTCCCGGCGAGAGAGACCATATGTCCTTCCTATGCCAGCGGATTTCCTTCCTCCCTAAATTTAGAACTCTCCTAGAGTTAGATTCTCTTCTTGATAATTTCCTATATCGAGCGACAAACGGGAGAAAGGGAGCCTGAAAATTAGGAAAATATTTTAAGGAACCAAAGAATAAATATATATATATATATATTTTATCCAGACCAGATCGTTCAAAGAGGTGAATAAATATCTATGAATAAAAAAAATAAATAAATAAATAAAAGATACCTTCCTGGTGAATATTTGGGACACCCTGTACGTATGTATATGTGTGCCACATTATTGCCCATTAAATTATCTCACGACCCCTCCCACGCTCCCCCTCCTCCTCCTCCCGCGAATGCACACGCGGCTTCCAGCAGCCGGGGCCGCCGTTCGCGAACTCGCATGTGCGGGTTCGTTCCGCTATCTATCTCCCCATATCCCTCTCCAGCTCGATAGCCCACCACCGCCGCTGCTGCTGCTGCTGCTGCTCGAAGAGCAGCAGCACGTCAATAACCCGTTGCCGCCTCGGCCGCAACGGGTTACAGGGGTACGTACGTGGGTAACCGCGCGCGTATGTCTTCCACATCCTTCTTCAGGAAGGATGTTACCTACCCAGGGATGGCCTGATTCGATCCCCCTCCTCCAAATGTCATGGACGTACATTGACCTACCCACCTCTTCATTAATTCTCACGTCTGTAAATATGCTGAGGAGATTCAGATATTCCTCCAGATGATGGAAGTGGACCTCGGGGGAGATGCGTATCGCGTGGAAAAATGATATTTTTGCGCGTGTTAGCGCTTCGCCGGGGGACGACACGGAACGAAACGAGTGAAAAATTCTGACAGGCGGAAATTGCTAACGTAGCGAATTATTGAACCGTGACTCGCACACGCAAACCGAGAAAAAGATAGAGAGAGGGACTGGGTGGGGAAAAGGGGAGAGACAGCGTTTGCGTGCGCGCGACGCGGCGCGACGTTCAAAGTGCGACGAGGAAGCGAAACAATGGGCGGTGGAAAACGCATTTGAAAGTCGCTCGACCGTGGACGGATATATATACGCGGTGCATGCGAACTCTGTATATCGAGACATACGTATCGCGTATATAAATTGGTAAAAGCGGTTTATATGCATGGGACCGCCGCATTCAGAGGATTTGACGCATTGTGCCTTTTTTTCTCTTTTCTCCTACAGAGTCCTTTGAATCCATAGCATGGAGAGATCCTCTTTGGACGGGTATCATTTCATGACTCACCTGCGATGTTGTGCTGATGATGATTATAAGTAAGAGGAACAGAGTGCAGTGCTCTAGCCGACCACTTCCGGTGTCTGGAATCCTCGTCGTCGTCGTCGGCCTGTTGACCATCCTCGCCTAGGAAGTGGACTTTCTCGTACCTGTCCAGATACCTGCAAATATTCAAGTGTTTTAGTACTTTGGGAAATTTATTTTCGACTTACTTTCACATAATATAATTAAATGGATATTAGTGTAGAAAGGACAATCATGAAGAGAATTGCTATCATTAAATTCCAATCGACTTCACTTTCCATTAAAATTAAAATGCTCGAAGAATTTAAACTTGAAATTGATGTTTCAATGCATTTATGGATTATACATATACTTGTTTCTGCAATAATTTCACAAGTTCAATGTTGCAATTAGCCAAGATAAGGACAGTATCAAACACCAGATATGGTTAAATCATATAAGTGATAAGCGAAACTCAAGTGGTTTTACTGGTAGAACCACTTGGGTTCTGTAAAAGCAACTGTGCAACCGTAGCTCTTCTGGTACGGAATCGATTAGTGCTTCTAGAGAACCGGTTGACTCTCGACGTATCACCCATGTGGCACGTGGTTCTGTCTTCTAACGCAACCTCTATTACGCGACGACGTTCCACTTCATCGGGGAGCGGTGCTAAAGTATAAGAAGACACTCTCTCTCTCTCTCTTTCTCTCTTCAGGGCGACCAAGACATCGATCGACTGACCGATCGTCAAAAGATCAACGAAGTTGAGCGAGTAAGATAGATGCCAGAGATAGAGAAAGAGAGAGAGAGAAGTAGAGGGACAGTCATGAGAACCGACGAAGAAAAGAGAAAGAGAAACGGTAGTCGTGGGTGGGCAAAAGAAAATGGTGGGGGTAGGTGTACTGGATCCATTCATGCAACCAACGTACAGCGGCGGAAGGTGCAGGCAACCGAGAGCAAAGCAGCCAGAGCCTGATTGGCCGTTGGCGGGTGCGGACTACCGAGTACTACTACTCTGTGCTAGGCTACACTGTGTCAGTAACGCATCATTGACTATCAAGTAGGTAGAATCCACGTGACACCTAGTAGATACCGGATAGATCATTTTTTCCTTTATCCAACCTGGTATCATCGTAATCCAAAAGACGTGGAACACACTGGGACCAGGATTATGATTCAATCCAGGTTGAATGGATGATGGAAGAGAAACATCGAGTCCTTGCAAGAGTATTAAGACATCAAGAGAATCAAATATAAATATCTCCTGATTTAGATGATACTAGTATTTAGAAAATGACATACCGTACCCCAATTAAGGAGCTTCCAATTAATAACAAGAGTACTCATGGCTGAAACCATGTGACACTTAGTAGACTTCGGATAGATAATTTTTCCCTTTATCCAACTTGATATCTTCGTAATCCAAAAGAACATACTGAACCAGACTTATTCAATCCAGGTTGATGATAGGAAGAAAAACCTCGAGTCCTTGCAAGAGTATTGAGAAATTAAGAGAACCAAATATAAATATCTTCTGATTTAGATAATATTGGTATTTAGAAGATAATATGTCGTACCTGAATTAAGGAGCTTCCAATTAATAACAAGAGTTAATCTACGACATCTTTTGCATAAAGAACGGAAGCTTCTGACGATCCAGGCAAATTTCGGCACGGAAAGTCACACACGTGACGCCAGGGACTCGTGGACTCGGTTGTGGCGCTTGTCAGCCACGCGCACTAACAAGATTGCAGGACTCGCTCCGGAAAGAGAGAAAGAGACTGAGAGAGCGCGCGCACGCGAGAGAGAATGAGAGAGAGGGGCAGGAGGAGGAAGGAGGGAGAGAGAGGAAAGCGAGACTCAGGAACCACGTGGTGGCTCTCGTCAGCGAGGGACATGAATGAACGAACGTACGTAGTACGCGATACGGAAAATGGTGGTGGGGCGTAGGGACCAATGCCGATACGCGGTGTTGGCCGTGCGGCAAAACGTTGCTGCTCCCTGCCTCTTGCAGACGCTCGCGGACTGCCAGACGCAATGGAACATTGTATCAAGCGTGACGCCACGCGGCGAGAAGTCGCCGCGTGATAAATCAAGGCCGGTCCGGATCGGTCGAGCCGATCATCTGGCCGGTCGAGCCTTCTATAGACAAACAGGTACCCCGGAACGGGTTCGAATATGCCGAAACTTCCCGTCTGACCAAAACAAAAGACTCGTTTTCTATTCACAGGGAAAGTTTTGGTGTATTTAAAGTTGCTTTAGGTACCTAGGTACCCGGTTTATTGACAGAAGAGTTTTAACTGACTGGTCTTTTGAACTTTAAGCTTGTTTTCTATTCCTGCACTGATGAACCAGTGCATACTGGTGCAATAACTTAGAACGGGATAAGTTTATTTTCTATTCACCAGGAAAGTTTTGGTATATTTGAAGTTGCTCTAGGTACCTAGATACTTGTTTATTGACAGAAGACTTTTAACTGACTGGTATTTTGAACTTTGAGCTTGTTTTCTATTCCTGCACTGATGAACCAGTGCACATTGGTGCAGCAACAATTGACAAGTATATTTTTCTATTCACTAAGAAAGTTTTGATATATTTGAAGTTGTTCTAGGTACCTAGATACCCCGTTTATTGACAAAAGAGTTTTAACTGACTGGTCTTTTAAACTTTGGGCTTGTTTTCTATTCCTGCATTGATGAACCAGTGTACACTGGTGCAATAATTTAGAATGGGACAAGTATATTTTTCTCTTCACCAGGAAAGTTTTGGTATTTTTGAAGTTGCTCTAGATAAATTTATTAAAAGAAAAGTTTTAAGTGACTGGTTCTTTGTACTTTGGGCTGTTTTCTATTCCTGCGCTGATGAACCAGTGCATACTGGCGCAATAACTTAGCATATTTTGTCAACAGAAAACAAACTCACAATCAAAGCATTAAGGGCTAGTCAATTAAAACTCTATCTTTTGTCAATAATTGAGTATTTGAGTACCGAAATAGCTTCAAATATATCAAAACTTTTCTCATGCCCAAAATGAAGTACAAAGGACTAGTTGGTCGACTCTTTTGTCAATGAACATCTAGATATCTTTAAGAATAATTTTAAATATACCAAAATTTTTCTCCTATTCGAAATAAAGGATCAATGTAAAAACCAACACAATACAAAATTTTTGGAAACATCCTCGATCATAAAGTATCGGTCAGTTGAACCTTCTGTTAAACGGGTACTCAGGTACCCAGAATAACTTGTTAATAATGTACTGAAATTGTTCTGCGCCTGAAACAAAGTACAAAAGGCCTTTGTATTCGGAAACCTTCTCGATATTATCAAGGACGCCAATCGGTTAAGTTCAAACAACTTTAAATGTCAAAAATGTGACGGAGCTTTTGCCTTGACTCAAAATATAAGGAGTTTTTGTATTCGGCAACTTTGTAAAATATAACGGGAAAAAATGTTAGATGTTCAACAGCCCCTATAAAGGAATTGCCGCAATGTTTAAAAACAAAAACGTAGTTGATATCCAGATATTCATATATTAATAAAAAGATTTAAAAATTACGAATTAATAGAAGGGTTAAATTTGCAATGAATCACTAAAAAAAATCAAAATTCTGATATAGTTGTTATAAAAAAAATTTGTACTCAAAAGAATACATTCAATCTATCATTAAATTTGACGAAAACTACAAAGAGGTTCTCGCGATATTACAATTCTGGTTTTTCGATAAGCGGTTAAAGCAAATAATTATTCTTAAATATTTGACCAAATGTCAGTTCAGATCTACAAAAAGATAACTTACCGAAGGTAAATTTGTTTAAGGCCGACCCCGCTGTTGATACAACCGCTGGGCAGGTGAAATTGTTCGCACAACGACGCCCATTCATTTCTAGTATTGACCTGCAATGAGTAAAAAAAGTCATGAGAATTATCAGTAAACGAAACTCGATTCCGCGAGAACAAACGCGCTTTGATTCCGAAATCTTTAAAATTCATCGCATTTGATAAAATTATTTATAGATACAATACTCAATATATATTCCTTAACATATATATTACTTCGTTATTTTAAGCTCGACTCGCCACTTTGAAATCGAAGATACTTTAGAGAAAATTCGCGCATACATTTACCCTGCCAAGATTTTCATGACCCCGTTTTGCCACAAAATTTAACAATATTTTACAAAATCAAAGTTAAATATACAAGCTGTCAACTAAAAAAATAAATAAATAAACTTGGATATAAAAAAATCTAAGATTGTATTTTAACTTTAAAATAACAATTTTTCTCGTAAATTAATTTGTAGACAATGTTTACCAACTTGGATATTCAAAGCATCCCTTTTTAAATTTTATAAGCGACAAACACGAGTATCGAAACTTTTCCAAGAAAAAACGACTGAATGCAAAAAATTTCTCAAAGAATCCGTTATTAAAATCGAAAAGCGCAGGGAAAGGGAAGAAAAAGTACCTCGGCATAATATTAATCAGCAGCGAGTGCCTTTGATCACCGAGTTGCATTCACGGAACCGAGAGCTTGCGATTAAACCGCCGAGATCCTACATTCCGCGATGGAAATAAATGTTTATTGCATTCGCGTTTATTTCGGGTGAGTTACGCGCACGTGGGAGGAATCCACTTCATTACACATCTGTATATACCGGAGATTAAATTTATGAGCCATTCGTATAGCAGAAATCTGTTTCAAATAAATTTTTTCTATTCCTCAAATATATACATGTATCTTAATCCTTAATTAGTCACGTTGCGACTCCATTCGTTTAGAATAATAAAAAATAATGAAAAATTCTTTATCCCCTGCTTAAGGGGATAAAGAATTTTTTACACTCAATTAGATATAAAAATAATTTTTTTTCTAATATAAAAAAAGTTAAAAAACATTTTTAGTGAAAAGAAATATTTTCTCTTATTAATTTTTAAATACTTTTCTTCATATTTTTAATATTTTGATAACATAATAAAAATTTTTAAGTTCCTATATTTTAATTAATTTTTTTGATAGTAATTTTAATGAGACTTTTGCGGCAAATATTACATCAAACAACATGATTTGGATAATATTCAATTAGATACATATAACAAAATTCTTACTACGCATCAAATTAAAAATTATTTAAATCTGTCATCTAAAAAATAAAAAAAAATAAAAATTAATTTGTAAAAATAAAAATAATAAAAATAAAGATATTAAATATAAAAAAAAAAAAAATAAAAAATGCAAGACTACTTTATTTTCCGATTCTATAACAGGTGCGAGAATATCTGGGGAACCTGACAGACTTGGCACGTGGTTCTTCGCGTGACACGTGGCCACGCGACGTCAAATCATCGGCGGCGGTCCTGCGCTGTCAAAGTGCGCTCTAAACGAGGGGGAGGCGAAGAGGAAGACAGTCGAGAAGGGGGGAGAGAGTCGTCGTGCGAAATCAGCGACGGCCGAACATACTGGGTCAGTGCTCCCTGGATCGGCGCCCGTGTCTTCGCTCTATTCTGGTCACCGTCCTCTTCATCTTCCTCTTCGTCTTCGACGACGACGACGATTCGGGAACGTGGCGCCGCGCCGTGGACGACCGTAAACGCGCGATCGAGCTTGTCTGTTGCACGGTAACCGAATAATAATAGTTGATGAAAGACAGGGGATGTGCGACTTGACTATTTTAAGAACGCGGATGCAAAATGTCGATGATTTGGCATCGACGCCGGGGATATTAAATTTATGTCGACGGAGTGTAACAGTTCATAAATCTTTCGACGCGAAAATAGCGAAGAATATCCTTTTTTTACGATCTGTAATATTCGTAAAATTTTGATCGAGTATTCAAAGATTCTTTTATTTTTTAGGTAGACTATTTGTTATGTAAACTCGAGACTTATATAATATCAAGCGGCTGTGTAAGTGCAATCGGATACGATAATGACGTCCGGTTTCCTTTTATCTCGATTCTTTTCTGTATAGTACTTAGGAAACGTATCTCCCACTCATTTACATAAGTAATTGTATAGTACAATTATTTTAAAAAATGAGAAGAATTGTGATTCATGAAGTGTCTTTACAGGTGTGGGTTGCATCCTTACATAAGTGACATTAACCAATCTTTGCAAAATTTCGTTTACAAAAAAAAATGTACAATTCTGATTGAATTTTTGTACGCTAAAAAAACGCAGTCACTTTAATCTTAACAGCTTCATTAGACTTATAAAAGGATTAGCCCCGATCATGATTCCACCTACCGTACGATACAACGACTCATTCTCATGCAAAACGTATCTAACCGAATTAATAGGTTTGTTCTCTTTAGCTGAACTGGCTGCACTAGTTCAGGGTTTATCATTGTCCCTTCAGTGTGGAGTAAAAAAAGAAAAAACCCTGCACTACAGTCAGTTCAACTAAAAAGACCCAATCTGGCCAATTGTACTCATTGTACCCTATTCGTGCCGATTTCTCCCGTATGTAAGGGTTTGTTCCTTTATTGCTTGATTGGTGAACCAGTACAATAAGTTAAAGTGAGACAAATATATTTTGTTTCATTCTTACTTACTGTACCAATATGCCCTGCTTCACCAATGCAGCAACAAAGGCTTGTTTTCTGTTCCTGCACTGACGAATAAGTGCATACTGGTACAATAAGCTAGAACGAAATAAGGGTTTGTTTTTTGCTGCACTGATGAACTAGTGCACATTAGTGCAATAAGTTAAAGTGAGATAAATATATTTGTTTCACTCTAACTCATTGCATTAGTATGCACCAGTTCATCAGTGCAGCAATAAAGAACAAACCCTTATTTCGTTCTAGCTTATTGAACCAGTATGCACTTGTTCGTCAGTGCGGGAACAGAAAACAAGCCTAAAGAACATTAATGCAATAAGTTAAAGTGAGATAAATATATTTTGTTTCATTCTAACTTATTGCATTAGTATGCACCAGTTCATCAGTGCAGCAATAAAGAACAAACCCTTATTTCGTTCTAGCTTATTGAACCAGTATGCACTTGTTCGTCAGTGCGGAAACAGAAAACAAGCCTAAAGAACATTAGTGCAATAAGTTAAAGTGAGATAATATATTTTGTTTCACTCTAACTTATTGCATTAGTATGCACCAGTTCATCAGTGCAGCAATAAAGAACAAACCCTTATTTCGTTCTAGCTTATTGAACCAGTATGCACTTGTTCGTCAGTGCAGGAACAGAAAACAAGCCTAAAGAACATTAATGCAATAAGTTAAAGTGAGATAAATATATTTTGTTTCATTCTAACTTATTGCATTAGTATGCACCAGTTCATCAGTGCAGCAATAAAGAACAAACCCTTATTTCGTTCTAGCTTATTGAACCAGTATGCACTTGTTCGTCAGTGCGGAAACAGAAAACAAGCCTAAAGAACATTAGTGCAATAAGTTAAAGTGAGATAAATATATTTTGTTTCACTCTAACTTATTGCATTAGTATGCACCAGTTCATCAGTGCAGCAATAAAGAACAAACCCTTATTTCGTTCTAGCTTATTGAACCAGTATGCACTTGTTCGTCAGTGCAGGAACAGAAAACAAGCCTAAAGAACAAACCCTAAGTATCGAGCCTGCGCACAGACTGGGCCAGGAAAGAAGCTCGTCCGGGAACCGACGGATCCAACAAGTTTCCCGCCTAAAGCTTCGATCCAAACGGGAGAGTGCGATTAGGTCAGTGCGGTACCATCGCGTAGTCGTCGCCGCACGAGGTTGTAATCTCGCGCGACTTTGCTCGACCTTGATGCGGCAAATAATGTGCGCGCATGCGCGGCGCGGGCCCGTTCCTCGGGAGCGTCGAACGAACGACTCGTGGGTTATCCACCACGTGGTTCGGCGGGTTTCCGAAGCACACGATGCATGATGAAAGTGTCTTCGGCGCCACGTGGTCGTCGTCGTTGGGGTAGGACATGGTCCCTTCTCTCCCCCTCTCGCTCTCTCCTTCTCGCACACACTCTCCCACCCCCCCGCCCTCCTCCCTCTCCTCTCTCGCGGTTCGCTCTCTCTCTCCCCCCACTACCATTTCGCTCGACACACGCTGCCGCAACTGCTGCTCTGCGCCTATGACTCTCCCGCGTCTTCCGCTTCTTCTTCTAGCGCGCACCTACAGTAGGGTACGAGACACGCGGGGACCGCAGCCACGTTTCGCCACTTCGGTCACTTCCAGCCTCGATCACCCGAGTAGCAAACCGACGTCATCGAACGACAAATGACGCCATTAAACGTCAAAATGACGTATGCTTGCTACTTGGAAGAAGCGTATCTCGCGTTTGAAAATTCAAACCCTGACAGATTCATCATGTATCTCGATGCCGCGAACGTAAGAAGACGCGTTCTTACTTTGCCGAAGGGGATTGGCGAATCTCGCGGGAAATTAATCCTCGGGATCGACAAAGTGTCAGGCGTGATTAAATTCAAGGAGGAGCGAGATAATCTCGAGAGGAATCAACCCTCGGAGCGTTTTCTCTCCTCGCACCGACTCGTTCGAGTAATTCATCATCGCGCCATTAAGCCACGAAGGATGGAATTAACTCTCTCTCTCTCTCTCTCTTGCTCTTACGTAAAGAGCTCTTCTATCTCTCTCGCTCTAGGGCAGGATTTATTACACGATTATCGCTCGGATGGTCGTAAATATACACGCGTTAATATATGCAACGATCGTTTATGTATAAACACGACGCGACACAATCCTGTACAGCGGTATCATTAGGATTCCGGATAACATCGTATCTCCAGGAACGACGACGATGATGGCGATACCAATCGCGATGTTTCACCGTGAAACTGGTTGCGATATTATATATGTTAGGAGCTCTTATAATAAATTCCTTTGGAATGAATGGCAGCGAGAGAATCGCGACGATATCGTTATTCGATATAT